AACCGAGCCTTGGTCGGCCCAGGTTGGACGTAAATTCTGACGTTGTGCTCGGGAACTGCAGCACCGTCTCAGCGTCAATATTTAGCCGTTATTCTAGTTGATGTGTTTATCTTTCTTATATATTCTGAATAATATTCGACGGGAAAGGTTCAACGGCGGACTGTTATACGATAGTTGAGGTGCTATTCACCTCGATTTCAACAAATCTATAGTGCGTACTTCTTGATTATGCTGCATGCTCTCCCATCTCCTTGATATTCTATGCACATCGACCAGATAGAAAGCTACGTTACCGTCGTGGTCGTGGTATGCACATATGAAAAATACGTTCCCGGCGTAAACAAGAAATGTGGTGAAAAAGCCTCATGGATGACATCCGGCCACGCAATGACTCGGCCGTAGGTGGAACTGTAAGGGCGGAACTCACCTGTATTGAATCAATGTCTTCGATAGCGAAGGATTGAACGACCTAATCTCTTATCAACATACGCTACGACAGTCAAATTGCTCGTACCTCGCATATTGTATGAACGACCGCAGCTTTCGGCCGTCAGTGGGATGGCGGAGGCGGGGCATACCGTATTATGATCTCCATTGGCATGAATTCGAGTGGTATCAGACGTTTCGGAGAGACGCAGATGAAAACGGAGCCGAAGCCGAGGGGGACGACGGGAGGCCGGCATGATTTAGAGGACTGTCGACACCGAATCCGCAAACGAAACCTTCTCCAGCTTCGTGGAAGACTCTGATGATCCGCGACGCTTGAGTTGACCAGGGTCGTAGGCGTCGATATTTACGATTGCGTGGCCACAATGGATATACTCGATTTTCCAGACCTAAACGCCGAATCCGCTTCAACCTCACCGATGCGAGGTGCGAATTTATAGCCGGGTGAAGGTAGCTTCGCAGCTTTTGCTTCGCGCGCGAGACAATTCAGCCCGTCGGCATTCTGTCCGGTCCACGGGTGCTTGAAGAGTTTGGCTTCAATTGTTAGAGTGCTAGTGAGTTAGTGACCCTGGAAGCCAAGACAACCTGGAGCGGGAATCATTATCTTGGAAAACAACACGTATTGCATGTCTAAGTTAACAACTCAGACGAATACGCAAAAAAAAATAGGAGATACCCGGCCACATACGTACGTTGGCACAGTAAGGTCCCAGAGAACGTGTGGGTACCAGGGTGCGATAGCTCTTGAATCGGAATCCAGCCGTTGACGCCGTGTGTACGACGGAAACAGGTGAGAACAGGTGAGAATTCGCGGAGATTGATGTGTTGACTTTGATGCGCCATCAAATACCCCTTCAAGGCCAACCACGACAATCGAACGACAATCGATAGCCAGCAGTTCACATCTACTCAGGAATTCCAGGTTACCAGACTCCCAACAAACACGCCGCAAGTAATCTGAGACTCTCGGTGCGTAGTATTGGCCCGGTGCGGAGAATCCTTCGTTTGCGCATCGATTATTGACTTCGACGGTCTACAGTCCACTTGCACAGCGGCTTCAATGGCGATCCAGTTTCCGGAAGAACTCATCGACCTCATCATCAGCCATCTGGATGACAACGCTTCGATCCGGCTATGCGGACTTGTCTGCAGAAGTTGGTTATACTCTAGCAGATTTTACGCACTGGAATTCGTCACACTGCACGAGGACAACATAGCACCATTTTTTGAGCTTGTGGAGACTTCACTTGTGTCGCTCCCCAGTTTCATCAGGGTGTTATATTTGGCAGAACCCTGGGGCTCAGAGTTGCAAAATATAGATTGGCTCGAAGGGATAGACCGATTGGGTTCCTGTCCCCGGATGACCCATCTGCACGTTGAGATAGGTGACAGGGGACTGGCCCATATCTCCTCATTTCTGAGCACACTTTCTTCGGTTATCACGACCAAGTTTACGGTCTTACCAAGGAACTCAGCAGGCTCCATCCTGAAAATCTTGTCGAGTCTGCCGCCCTCAGTGGAAACTTTGAAAATCTTCGATCCACCAGGGGACTTCTTCCAGAACCAAACATTCCCGCCTGCCTCTCACCTTCCCGGAAAATTGCGCACTTTGTGCTTGGGAAACGATGCGCAAAACTTCTTCTCGGCATTGTTGTCGTTACCCCAGATCCCCCTGCTTTCTGCAGTGCTTGTACCCTACATAGGGCCAGCTCAAAACTCAGCCGTGGAAAAATACCTCCGTTTTGTTGGCGGAGTACTTCAAAAGCTCAGTGTCGATTTTAGGAACACCGTTCTAGCTAGTGAGTATTCTCTTTGTCCTGACCTGTGGATATTAACTGCTCCACAGTCCAGGACGAACCCTTCATTGCTCTCCGCCACAGCACATCGCTCCGTCACCTGTGCATCACAACCGAGGCCCACTGCATGCCCGGCGTGCTGCTCAAGACCATACCCCATCTGTCGTCTCCCGAACTTGCCGCGATTGATATGTTCACCCCATGGTGGCCAGGCGAGTCAAAGAATCTGAATGACACAGTAGATCTATGGCGCTCTCTTGATGCTGCGCTCGCAAGTCCAGTGTTCATTGGACTTCAAACCCTCAAAATTCGGGCGGATAATGCGCTTCAGAAGTGATGGTTTTTCGACGAATTGCCCAAACACATGCCCTTGACTGTCGCGCGTGGAGTTCTTCAAATCGTTGGCTAATAATGTATTGATTTTGGGATCTAACTGAGCCTTGGTAAGCCAAGGTTGGATGTAAATTCCGATGTTGTGCTCGGGAACTGCAGCACCGCGGTACCGTCTCACCGTCGATGGTCAGCCGTTATTCTAGTTGATGTGTGTCCATCTTTCTTGTATATTTTGAATAATATCCGACCGGAAAGTTTCATGATCAAGAGCACAACGGTGGACAGTTATACGACAGTTGAGCGGACGCTCCTTTCTGAGTATTCGGCGCTATCCATTCTGTTTCAACAAATCTACAGTACGTACTTCTTGATTATTCTACATGCTCTCCCATCTCCTCGATATTCTATGCCCATCGACCAGATAGAAAGCTACGTTACCGTCGTGGTCGTGGTATGCAAATATGAAAAATAAATTCTCAGCGTAAACAAGGAATGTGGTGAAAAGGCTTCATTAAGGTCGAACTCGCTTGTAATAAATTGATGTCTTCCACCTTCAAGTTGACAGCGAAGGATTGAACGACCTCGTCTTTTATAAACAGACGCTACAACAGTCGAATTACTCGTACCTCGCATGCTATATGAACGACCGCAGGGCATGCGGATTTCGGCCCTCAGTATGACCGTGGTCCGTCAATTGACGGAAGGAAACGGAACAGTGGCTGGGCCACGGATCAAATTTGCCTTTCTTTGTTGTCGAACGACATCAGGCGAGCAGGCGACATCCCATCAGCATCTCGTCTCATCCACAGAGTTGCAGGCTTCTAGTGACAGTGTGTTTCCTCATTCTCCCGTAGAATTTATCTGAAGGAAACGGGTCAATCTTGGTGCGGAGAATCGTTCAATTTACCCTGCGATTCTTGCTGCGATAACTTATCCAAGTTGATGATTTCGGTCACGAAGGTCTGTAGAAGAGAGGCCTCAATGGCGGGCCAGTTTCCGGAAGAACTCATCGACCTCATCATTAGCCATCTAGATGACGACGCTTCGATCCGGCTATGCGGACTTGTCTGCAGAAGTTGGTTATACTCTAGCAGATTTTACGCATTCGAAAACGTCACCCTGAACGACGGCAACACAGCGCCATTTCTCGAGCTTGTGGAGACTTCATTTGTGTCGCTCCCGAGTTTGATCGGGGCGTTAGATCTGACAGAACCTTGGCCAGGGGACTCAGAGTCGGAAAATATTGATTGGCTCGAAGGGATAGATCGATTGGGTTCCTGTCCCCGGATGACCTATCTCTACGTTCAGATAGGCGACAGGGGACTGTCCCATCTCTCTCCATTTCTGAGCGCACTTTCTTCGCTTACCACGACCGAGTTTTCGGTCGTACCAAACAACTCAGCAGGCTCCATCCTGGAAATATTGCCAAGTCTGCCGCCCTCAGTGAAAAATTTGAACATCTTCAGTCTGATAGAGGACTTCTTCCAGGACCAAACATTCCTGTCCGCCTCTCGACTTCCCGAAGGATTGTGCACTCTGTACTTGTCAGACGATGCGCAAAATTTCTTCTCGGCACTGCTGTTGTTACCCCAGACCCCCCTCCTTTCTACGGTGCATGTACGCAACGCATGGCCAGCTCAAAACTCAGCCCTGGAAAAATACCTCTGTTTCGTTGGAGAAGCACTTCAAGAGTTAACGCTCGACACCGGTGATATCCCTTTATCTAGTCAGTCTCTCTTCGGAATCTTACATGTAGGCAGAAAACTGACCAGTTTCCTCTCAGCCCAGGATGAGCCGTTTGCGCTTCGCCACAACACGGCGCTCCGACATCTCAGCATCGCAACCCCACCTCATCAAATGCCCGAGGTGTTGCTCAAGACTATCCCGCATCTATCTTCTCCCGAGTTGGTGACGATCAGTATGAGTAGGATGAATGTTCCATGGGGCTCAGGCCAGATAGGCAACCTGGATAGCGCGTTAAACCCGTGGCGCGCCGTTGATTCAGCACTCGCAGGTCCGGCGTTTGCCGGACTCAAAACCCTCGAAATTGCGACTCGGTGGGTTCGCAGCGAATTGCCGAAGCACATGCCCTTGACTGTCGCGCGTGGAGTTCTTCAAATCGTTGGCTTATAGTGTATTGATTTTGAGGCCTGACCTTCCTTTTGTAAACGCCGGAAAGTAGGCTGTAGGCCCCACGCCGCCGTTACAACGGCAACGGACAGTATTCATCTTTGTCTTGTAACCGTCTTAATCTTTCATATACGTTCGTCTCGGTGATAGTCGACCTGGAAATTCATGTTCGATGAAGAGGACAGTCACTGGCTACAGAGTAGTCGAGTGCGCTCTCCTTTTGGTATTTGGTGCTATCCACTGTGTGCTACACATGGCATGTACATATAGCGCAAGAATTTCAAATGCATCGTGCCCACTTGGTTCAGTGGTTAATCTGCCTGATCGTGTTGCATTGCTGACAACGGGCGGTCGGAGGTTCGATTCCTTCGAGTGGCACTAAGGGTGCCGAGTCCCGGGCTCTGCCCCGCACTCGCGACAAACTCCAGGACGCATTCGCCTTGTGCAACGCTGGGTTTCATTTTTTTTTTATATTTTCGCACAGATTGGATTGGGACAGAGTATACAATACTCTGCCCCAATATAGCTTCAGTCGCGAATATTTCACCTACGAGTTAACCGTGACCACAGACGTGTAGAGCAGAAATGGACCAGTGTATGGTCTCTTTGCCAATGTGCCAAGCCGGAAGCAGACGCGGGGATTACCCTACGGGGATAGAGATGTCGACGCGTCAGTGGCAGTGCCGTCGCTAATCCTTCATTGTTCGTTCATCACCACGCCCCACGCCAGATGCCCCCTAGACGAAATACCATCCCTTCTCAACCCAAAAACATCCCGCCTAAGTTCAAACCCCCACCCAAGCCCAAGGCAAGCGAACGAATTCGGTCTGCGATCCTTGCCTGTATACTCGACCCAAAATATTGCCCGCCGGCTTTTCCAGCCTTGGAGGATCTCTTTTGGCCGGACAGTTTCTCAAAGACGGAAGAAGAAGATGAAGGCGCATCCGCAGCAGAAAGAGACTACTACGCACAGATCGGGTTCGCCACCTTGCAGCAGGTGCTCTTCCTGCTCATACGTCCGCATCTTCGGGGAAAACCGGTCGGGTTTTCAAAAGTAATCCGTAATCTGATAGGAAATCCTGGCGTGCTAACCGAATACACGTTTTTATAGGCCATACAAAACGCTGTTCATACGCACGAAATCCTCAAATTAGCCATCGGTAATATTAATCCCAAAGTCCTCGACAAAGTGTCCAAGGTGGAAGGGGGATGTCACGCCTTAGTTGGTGCACTTTGGATCCAATTCGGGGAGGACACCGAGAGATTCGCGCGCTGGCTGGACCCGATTTTTTGGCCGCTCCTGGAGGCGGCGGGTGACAAAAGCCGCATGCGATCAGAACAAGTTGGAAGTTGAACGTCGGAACGTGTTCGTCTCAATTGTACATCAGGATGAGTTATTGGATCTGGTACGCCACAACACAGCGCTCCGACACCTCAGCATCATAACCCCCCCTCACCAAATGCCCGACGTGTTGCTCAAGATTATTCTGTATCTATCTTCTCCCGAGTTAATGACGATCAGTATGAGTAGGATAAAATTTTCTGAATCCATGGGGGTCAGGCCAGATAGGTGACCTGGATAGCGCGTTGAACCCGTGGCGCGCTGTTGATTCAGCACTCGCAGGTCCGGCGTTTGCCGGACTCAAACCCTCGAAATTGCGACGGGGGGTGCCCGATGGGTTTGCAGTGAGTTGCCAAAGCACATGCCCTTGACTGTAGCTCGTGGAGTGCTTCAAATCGGCCAATCATAGTAAGTGACCAAGCAGGTCTTGCAGCAGCCTCTTGCTTTGGAAATGCCGGAAGGTATGGTGCAGGAGTCCCTCCCGCCGCCGTTACATTGACAACGGTAATGGACAGGATATTATACTTTTTGATGTGTATTCATCCTCACACTGTTCATGATATTCGACCAGAAAATCTACGATTGAGCAAGATGCCTTCGGTCTCGACTCTCGACTCTAGCTTCTGGGTGGTATGTGCTAAGAACATTGATCAGACATCACATCCTCATCCATACCGAGTCGAGTACATCCCCAAATTGCGTCAATGAGCTTTAAACCATAAGTACATATGTTTTACGTACGTTCGCCCGCCGTCGCACCCAGTCGTGTTTCGTCGACACTTCAGCATCTCGGACACCTGTCGAATTCTTGCAATGCAACCCCGACGCTGGGAAAGTTTGGTGCAGCCAGTCCGAGCACATTCGCTTTAAAAAAATGTCCTCACTCGGGTTGCATCTTAATTGAAAGGGATAAAATAGAAGGCATATTTGTCTGATCCAATATTCGAAAAAACCAACGCTGTAAGCAGCAATAATACACCCTCGAAAAAGAAGATCTTTATGATCTCGAAACCCAGCATTGCACAGGGAGAATGCGTACTGATGTTTCTCGCGGGCACGGGGACAGAGCCCGGGGCCCGGCAACCTTATTGTGCCACTGGAAGGAATCGAACCTCCGACCTCCGACCTACGCGCTAGCAATAGAATCGGTCCATTCTACCACTGAACTACAGTGGACACACCATCTACCTATTTTTCTACCAATACAGCCATTCTTAAGTCCGTGCACACAATGATATAACCCCAGCAATCTCCGCTGCGAGGCAATCACACGATGAGGATACATCGAAGGTTGCTGTTTGTTGCGTTAAGTTGCGCGTTTGCTTGCTTCAGGCTTCCACAAATTTGGACAGCAAATGTTATCACGATTCTCCATGGGGTAAGATGGGGTAAGATTGGGGTCCTAAGACAAAGGGACGCATCAGTGGCAGTGCTATCGGCAATCACGGCCATAATTCGGACTTGCCTTTTTTGACGCCTAGGCTATTTCATCGCTTCCAGCTCGCTCACTACAAATCAAATGGCGACGAATGCTCGTACAAAACCGCCCAATACCAGGGTGAAGGCGGCCAGGCCGAAAGCCAACCTGCCCAAACCGAGACTCAACGACGTTATGCGAGACGCGGTCCATACATATATCGCCAGCAACACCTACCAGCCCCCGCCCATGCCCCAACTTAGCGATCCTCTTGGGTGGCCAAAAAGCTTCTCGCCAACTAAGGAAGAGGATGGCCCCAGCTCCTCCCCTGCCATTGACCGCGCGTTCTACGCGGAAGTTGGGACCTCAACTTTAGACCGCGTCTTATTCCTTTTGGTTGTAGACGAGCTCCGCGGCAAACCCATAGGGTTCTCCAAGGTAACACGCGCTTTCTTTTCCACGAAAATTCAGTCTCATTCTTTCTAGACGGTCCAGAGAGCGGTGCACACACAGGAAGCTCTGCGACTTGTCCTCCAAAAGCTGAATCCAAGTTTCCTGGATGGCGTCTCGAAGGTGGACGGGGGCTTTTATGAGTTTCTTGGCGCACTTTGGATTCAGTACGGCCAGAATACTGCAGAGATGGTTTCCGCGCTGTACCCGATCTTTCAGCCTCTGCTAGAGGCGGCAGGAAACGCGTACTTGGATTTGTACGCTTTGTTCGAAGCGCCCGCTCTTGAGAGACGCTGAACTTCCCCAGTTACTCGGACAGTACGACTAAAGAGCCTAAGAAACCGGAGAAGAATCGCCAGGCAAAACTCCCGGCTGGCATGTTTTCCAATATTCGAACTTCACAATCCTTGACGTCGGTATGCGCAGATCTCCAATTCCTCGTAAATGTGCGCAAAGCGCAGAGGGAGCGGACAAGTTTTCTACCCCCGGCGGTGCGTAGAAGTCAATCAGAGTTTGTGCTTTGACACCCCCGCTCAATTTCGATTTCTGCCCTCAGACACCCCAATCTTCGGCTCGCCGCGATCCCTCTTCGGACCTTTTCCTTTCTCCGACTTCGCCGACTCATCCCCAAGACAAAGCAGAACAGGGCGACTCGCCTCCATATGTATTGGTTGTTCGGGTACGTTCTCTTTGCCAGGCAGCTCACATCACATTTACCGATTGCAACTTTGTTGAAACAGGATTCGGACCATGAACCGTCGGTCCTGGAATTCGTATGTAGTTCTCCACGCCCACTACTGATAGCTAACGCCTTCGGGACCTCAGTCACCCATGGTGTTCACTCCGGATCCGAGTCCGAGTTTTGCGAATCACGCAGACATTCTCGGGGCGGACCTCAACGAATTTATGATATTCAATGTGAGTTAATGTCAAATGACGAACTTGCATTCGTATTCTGACGGGAATACCAGAACCGCTCACCCATACATGCCGACAACGCGGTACGTAGAAACTCGATCACACTAGGCCCGGGCCACTGGTCACTAACTTCAAAACTTGAACTACAGTCTCCTTGGAATCCTCCACCGCTACGCCATCCCGTGTTTAGCATGGCGCTCCCCGGATCCGAACGCCCGTTTACGATGGAGGTGAACCGTTGTTCCATCTAGTCCGATACCTCGAGGCCTTGACACCCCACAGCTGGATGCATCCCCCGCCCGCCGCACAAATTCAAGCACGATGGGCGCCACGTTCAAACGGTATTCTGCTCTTGCCCCTGCATTTGTCGTACGTTCTTACCTTTCATCTCACTCCCTCGACACACTAACACCAGGACAGGAGAAAACGTACCCGCCCCTGCACGTTGAAGGATCCCCGGAGCAGCTTCTCGACCCGGCGGTGAGCTCTCGTCCATTTTCCGTGCTAATGGGCGACTCTAAGGCTCTCTTTTTCAATCGCCCCAGCTGCTTGTGATAGAGCAAACGCCAGACCGTCCCCGCCCTCCGCTAACGCCTAGTAACTACAATTATAACGGACGGCAGCTAGGAACGCCTTTCAAAGTGGCAGCCCGGGTGTTGGACTTTATGGTCAATGTCTGAGTGCGTTCTGTGCACGCGGGCGAGGCGAGGGAACGAAAATGCATCGAGTGTATGGACTTCAGGATTTTATTGGATTTTGTTTCGGGATATTGCATAGAGCGAACAGATGTATATTCAAATGTTTTCTGTAAATTTCAATGGGTTAAAGCGGCACAGGGGGGGTTAACAGTCCACATTCGCGCAGCGCGCTTCGCATTCTGGTTCACCTTTCATGACACCTTAACGATTACCTTCTCTCCGCTTATCTTGTTATTCCTGAGCAAATCCAAACCCGTTTCAACACGGTCCTTCAACGACCCCTGGTCCAGCAAACGAACGCGGTTCGGTTGAATTATTCCTGACGCAAGCAATTCCGGCAAGATCTTGGGCATCAAGTTCGCCTTCAAGTATTCGTTCTGAAATAATTTCAACATACATCTTGTCAACACAGAAAAAGACAGGACGTACATCGCGATACAGGAACATGCGCACAAGCACGACCTTGGTCTCGGGCAAGAACGGACTGAGGCCGGACGGCATCTGTACGTGCATCGGCGCCTCACCAACGGCGACGTTGTTGCCCTCCTTTATAGGGAGAAGGAGTGCCACGGTTCCCTGCGGGCTGATGACTTGCGCGATCTTCGCCAGAGTGCCCGTCGCCGTGATCGGGTCGAACGCAAGCGCGATTTTGCCGTCGCCGCCGACGGCGCTCCCGATGTCCGCCGCGAGGGTCGGGCTGTTATAGTCGAAGATGCTCTTTGCGCCGAGGGTGCGCAGGAACGCGTGGTGCTTCGTGGACGCGGTGGCCACGACGTTGGTGTAGCCCGCCGCATGGAGCAACTGGATCGCATATTGCCCGGCCGTCGAGCCCGCACCGTACACGAGGATTGGGACAGCGTGATTCGGGGGCTGGGCGGTCGGGGGGAAGCTGGTAGGCACGGGCAAAGAAAGCTGGTCAAATAGGGTATAGAAGGATGTGATGAAGTTGTCGGGAATCGTCGCGGCTGCGTCAAGTGCTATATTCTCCGGGACCTGCTTTTATTCAGTATACAGAATTCCGGTCCTCTGGCTCAAAGCCGAACCTTCGCACAGAGCTCGTGGGGCAATACGACGAACTCTTGCAGCGTTCCTTTGAGGCCGTCCTTTCGGCCTTGCCCAAACACACTCAAGCCCGTAACCTGGAACCACACAGTCAAGACGCGTAATATACGCATGGGCCAACTGTGCGCACCCGGTCGCCTACTGCAAGCGATGTAACACCACTGCCGACCTCCGCGACAGTGCCTGCGGCATTCAACCCTAAAATAACGGGATACTCTTCGACCATGTACCCTACGTCGGCAATATACGTGTCGAACGCGGCCATGGACGCATATGCGACTTTCACGAGAACTTGACCTGGGCCCGGTTTTTCCGTTTCAACTTGGAAGGCATCGAAAGAACCCTTGGCGAAGGTGGCGATGGCGGTGTGTATCGCCATTCGAGGCGAAGTTTTCAATGAGCGTCAACGGTACTATAGACCTTACATATATACTGCATATGCGCAGTATTCCATGTCGGTGAGACTTACCTGACTCAGGTGAGAAAATGGATTTTGGCGAGGCTCACAAATCGGATGGATGAATAAGTCTCATGAATAAGCAGCTGTGTCAGAATCAGATTTAAATCTGCTGGTGTTGGGAGGAGGATACTTACTGGCAGGGTCCCATAATTGGAACAACCTGTTTACTACCTAAGAGGGTTAACAACGTTAGATAACATGGGGAAATGCATGTAAATTACAAGTTTTATTCAAGCAGCGTAGGTTGCGGTGCCATGGGAGAGGGAAAAGGCCTCAGTTGCCGTCGGCAGTTGTCATCGGGCGAAGAGTGTTGGACTTGATATCAACTAGACAGCTGAAAATTTAGCGTGTTCACTTCTGCGATAACCACAGTTTACAATAAGTTAAATCGTTAAACTACTTGCTAGGACCTGTGCACTGAGTAATGAGTAATGCGGGGATACGTCTGTAGTATTGTTGCGAATAGGTAACCGTAATTATCATGCAGGCCATCATCTAGTCCGACACAATTTCCAGCGTCTGGCTCCACGCGGCGACTTTCGGGTGCGCCTGAACCTACGAAGTCGTTAGATTCAGATAGTCTAAGAGAGGAAGGAAGAGGGACAGGACCGGACGCACTTTGCTCGGTTCGAAATTGAGCACTTGCAGCCCATCGAGGGAGGTCGCGCGCGAAAGGGCGACGTACGCTTGGCCTGCACGCATAATGGAGGCGGCCGTGAACAGATGGTATGCAGACGTCTTGGAACGCACGTACCCTTCTCGAATATACGCCCCAGATCGACCTTGACACGATCCAGCGTTTGCCCCTGTGACTTGTGGATGCTCATAGCCCACGCGAGAATCAAGGGAAGCTACGCAGGTCAGTTCACTTATGGCGCAGAGATGCAGAAGGAAGAAGTGCTCGTACCTGCGACCTGCTGGCGGTAATCTCCCCATTCGGCTGCTCGACCTTGAATACCTCGGGCTTCACCAGCAACGTGCGCTTTCCGCCGTTCGGGAGCGAGAACTCCACGACAGGGTACTGCGCACCGGGGGGACCGGTGGGCTTCTTGGGTGCGCCCGCCGCTGCGCCGAGGATCTCGGGCGGCGCACCGTATGCCTCGACGTCGTGCTCTGTGCCATACGTTATCTCGTCCACGAAGCGCACGACGCGCCCCATGCTCCCGTTGAC